TGGCGAATACAAGCCTTTCCGTCCCTCTCTTTCTCTCGCTCACTCTATCTCTGTCCGTGTCCGCGCGAGTGTGTGCGCGCGCGTACACGTGTCTTTCTCTTCCTCCCTTCTTTTTCCTCCTCCTCGCTTTGTCTCTCGCTTTGCCCGCTGCTCTTCTGTCTCTCGAGCTCACTTTCTTTCTCCTTTCAATCTTCTTCCCAGTCCAATATTATTTCGCATTTCCCTTCGGATCAACTCACCTTCGTCTTTTTTCGCTCCGAGATAAGAATTTCCACCCGGCGCATTAGATTATTGAAATATCGCGTTTCTTTTTCCTTTTTCTTTTTTCTTTTTTCTTTTTTTTTTCCTTTTTAAACGAACGCGAGAATATACTTATTGGAAATAAAGTAAAGCAGGTAACGGATGATAAGAGTGGAAGGAAGGATAATGTAAGTGTCGTCGTGCTTGTCTCAGGGATTTCTGCTTTTGTTTTGATATCTTGGGGAAAGAGGTATCTCGGCTCGTTAAAGTAGTCTTAAATGGCTTATTTTCGTTTATATTATTCTAATATTTTATTTTATGATGGTCGATGAAAGGTTTTCGAATAATGTGATACGATTATATATAAATATTTTTGATACATTTTTTTTCTCTCTCTTTATAGTTCAATTTTTTTATTTAGATATATTGTGTATATATATGTAATGGTGAAATTGAAGAAATTATTATATAAAAATCGAATAAAAGAAAGGTAAAAGAGGACAATGATACGATATTTTAAAATTAGAATAAAAATAATTCTAATTTGTAAAAATATAATTTATAAGTGAAAATGAAAAAAAAATAGATAAAATATTTTATATGTACTTTGATTGTAAGTCATACATTTGGTATCACAAATAGGAATTAAATAATATAAAATCTCGTTTAAAAATAAGAAATATTTTAAATATCCTTAAAAATTTTAAAATAATATATATAAATATATAGAAAAATGATTTTTCATATTCCTTAATTTTGAATTGCTGCTACATACAAACTGCTACTACACATAATGTCCAGGTAGAATATTTAAAGAATAGATTTAGAAAACAAACAGAAAAGTTCGTAAAAATATCTGTTAGAGTTTATTTTCCTACTATAAATAATTTAATTTTACGCCAGATGAAGTGAGATAACAATAGAGGAAAACATTATCTTCTTTATCTTCATTTCACTTTATCTAATACAAAATTGCTTGTAAATTGAAAAATAAACTTCAATGAACATTTTATATATATTAAGTTTTGTGTCTCTTTTAGTTTTTGTAATCATTCCTTAAATTTAAATTTTCTATTTATCTCGTCTAAACACTGTATATATTCAAATTGTATTCAATATTTATCTATAATTTTATAACAATAGATAATAGACGAACTTCATGTAATATTTTTTTTTCATTTTCACTTATACAGCAAACTCCTTTATTTTAAAAAAGTAAAAAATTCTATTTCTATTTATTTAAAAATAAGAAAATTTATATGATAAAATACAAATCAATCCATTCTAATAAAAATTATATAATATCTCATAAATTTGCTAATAAAATGCATTAAAATAAATAAGTATTTTTCGTTTTTAAAATTTTTAAAATGCTGCTCGAATTTATATGTTTCGTTTAAGAGGATATCTGTTCCTGTGGAATTTTTATGGAAAGAAACGTTATCATTAGGAACATTTCTAAGAAGTGTTCTTATGGAATATATATTTTAGAATCTGTATAATAAAAGTTTTATACAATCAAGTTATTTTAAAATATTTATTAAATCAAATATTAGTTTTACTTAACAATATCATTAATATGTTTGTATAACAAAATATATTATTTAAGATCATTACACTATTTACTAATAATAGATAATTTTTTTATATTAATGAACAAAATATCCGTTTCTGTCTCGTAAAAATATTTTTATTTCAATATTTTATAAATTTTATTCAAACTTTAAATAAAAAAAAATTTTTTTCATATAAAAATATAAATAAAAATAAGGAAAGAAAAAAGTTTTCGAAAAATAATCTTCACCTCAACTCAAAATTTTTGTACTCAAAAAATAATGTTTTAAACAGAATCTATTAAGAAGATAACTCTTTCGATCTCTTTACATTTCTGCAACGATTGATCTCTTTTAATCTCTGTACGTATACAGCTCATGAAATTAATCTGTAAACAAAGCGATTATTTCATTTTTCGATTAAATGAATGAACAGCGTGGATATATCTATGCGTTCGTTGCGAATCTCTGGGTCCAGCCTGCCGCACAGGTATTGCAACTTGCAACCTGTGTGGCATGAGAACGGGGCCTTCTCTTCTCACATAATGAACGACTTCGAAGAACGGTAGTGGCATTGACCTGAATCTATTAGGGCTTTGGTTTGGCGGTATTATAGCTGCCCGTGAATCAATCCCTTACTTAGCAACATTCGTAGACCACACGAAACTTCGTATACCTCATTATACCGGTCCTTATTCCGCCTTGTACCACTTCTTATGTCGATAAAGATACAACTTTATTCTTTTCGTATCCTTTTCATATAAAATATCGGTTGTACAAGTGTTCTTGTTTCATTCTCAATGGGATACTTTGGACCTTTCATCGTGTTTCGTTTATATATTTTCGTGTTTATACGTTTATTGTTTATTCGCATATGGGTATCATTAATTGTAAAAGTTTTTTCATTTTAATTAAAAGTAAACGGATATTTTGAATATTTCTTCTGTTTTGTAATATTTTCATATTTATTATTTTATATTCACGTACGATTCATTGCGAAAGATATTTAAGAGGAAATATATTATATATTTTTAAATATATATTTGGATATAGATTGCAAATTATATGATACAAACATCAATACATACACATGTAATAATATTAGATGTAATAATAGTTTTTATTTACAAATTTTTAATTAAATTTATTTTGATAATTGATAAATTAAATGGAGAATAATTTTTGAAAACATGTTCAAAATGATACTAACTTTATAATTTTTCAGTTTTAATTAAGATTTCATTTTTTAAATTTTCAACTTTTACAATTTTGTTACACTAAATCTTTTTTAAAATCACTGTCTTAAAAAGATTTTTTTATTACAGATTCGATCAAATAAAATTGGTGATATTAAGATCAGGAGACATCTTTATACAAGAATTCCGTAAATAACTCTTTGTATAACTCTTTGATCGATGATTTCATTCCAAATGCAGACGACAACGCCCACTCGTGTTAAGAGATCAAATCCCTATTTCGATATACGTAATATTTCTTATTTGTTATTGACAATTAATTGCATTCATTTTGATGATCCATAAAATTTAACAATGTTTACTTATAATTATTTATATGAATAAAGACTTATTGTAAAATAAACATTTCGCCTCGATGTTCAAAGAACCATAAGTATTTTCACTCTGTTAAAATTCTATTTCTATTTAAAGAGAATAAACTTAAACGTAGTTAAAAATTTTAAATATATCTTGATAAAAAAAAATTTTACAATGAATCAAATTTAATTTTAACTAATTTTAATTTTAATATAATCAGATTATACAAGTTAATAAAAATATTAAGAAAAAAAAATTATGAAAACAATATAAGTTTAGATATTCATGATAGTATGTAATGATAAAAACACTTGAAAAATATTAAAAATATGAATCTTGTAATGCATGTAAGAAATAACATGATTGTTTAATATCAAATGTTGAGTCGTTCATATAATGTAGATGTGAGTACATATATTTGTAAAGTAATACGTATAATATTAATTATGATATATCTAATAGAAAACATTCTTTTAAAGGCAGTAATGAAAGTCAAAAATAAATCAATAATAAATTAAATGTGCTTACAATTTACTGTGAGGAAACAAATATTAATACATTATTGATAAAATATATAAATTCTAACACAATAAAGATTTGTAATGGGATAAAATATAAGAAAATTAAATTTCTTCTTGTAAAAGGAACAAACAAATTAATGAGCAGTCGTTGATAAGTATAATTTTCATGTTTTATTAATTTTTGCGACTTTTAAACGCAATTATTTATACAAAAACTAAATATGGAAACGTTAAATTTTCAATTTTATAAATTTTACACGTGTAAAATTATTTATTTAATTAATTTATATTTTATAATTTTATAATAGCGTAAAGAATTAATAATATTTCGTTTAATTTTTTTAATATTTCGGTGTCATTGCAAGTATATGTAACTTCTAGCTTGATGATAGCGTATATGAATAAATGACTATTCTTTATGGTTAATGAGAAATACAGGCAGCAACTACAGATTTATATACCTACAACGAAATTTAAACTCATCATATTCAGAAGCTTTGTGAGAAACTTGAATATCATATCTAAAAATATGTAACTATTAGAAATATCTAAATATGTAAATGAAATAAAAGTAATTTTAATAGATATTTATAAGTTTCTAATAAATATTCATAAATTTGAAAAGTACAATAGAAAATTTATAATATAATAAATTACTATAATTAAAAAATTTTATTAAACTCTATGTTATTTATAGATAAAAGTCAAATTTTAATATATCTATCATGTTATAATATTTATTATAAAATTTCTTCCATAACATCTTTTTATTCGTTAATTTATATCACAGAATTTAAAAAATGTTATAAGAAGAAAATTCAAGAATTTATCGCTTCCTTCAATATCCATTATTTATTATCCCCAAGTTCAATATATGTCACAATGATAATCATTTTTCCATAAATGATTATGCAAAACTTTCATTTACATGGATAATTCAATTATTTAAACAGATTTTAAGTGGATATTTTCAAATGAATAATAATGTATTATTATT